AGTCTCTTCTCCTGTCCCTGTCTCCTCGCCTGTCTCTGTCTCTTCTCCTGTCTCTGTTTCTTCTCCCATCTCCTCACTACTCCCCATCCTCTCCCTCCTGCCCTCTTCAATGAGTTCCAACTGCCCTAAATTACAATGGCATAAAGCCTTTAATTTACACTTAAAATTAAGTTTACTTCGGAGAGCAGGCCTGAACTGTTCCAAGTCTTTTGTTAAGAAATGTGAATTTAAAGTACAAGTAATTCAACTATTGTTTAATTACCTAAGGGCCTTCCTTTTTTCTTCTTGCCTATTTGTTGTAAATAGAACTAACTAAATTTGAATGCAAAATTACTTTTTAGCTTAATAGTCCTTCTCATAGCTACTTCACAACAAAAATTATCACACAATTACACATGTAAATAAACTTACTTAAGCCGTTTGATTCTATTAAAAACAATGTCATGTATAGTTGTATGTTTCACCTTTTAATCTTACCATTCTCCTTTTGACTATCTCCACCCTCCTCTTTGTCTCTGTCCCCCTTCTCCTCTGTCCTCTCTCCTCTGTCTCCTTTCGTCTCTTTCACCCTTACTTCATCTTTTTCTGCTATAAATATAATTATTTTTTGCTTTTAATGTACAACACAAACATACATGTACCAACAACTTACCAAGTTCATCTACCAAAAACAAAAGGCATTATAGTTATCACTATAGGGTTACACATTCCCAACTTACCATCAGATGGATGGACATCAATGAGGACATCCTCTATTGGGGCAGCCATTACTTTTTGATTTTGAACTTACAGTTTCAGGTGTCTTATTTTATATCCTAAAGGTCACAGGTGACACTTGGTGTTCTTTGATTGGCTGTGAATGACGCAATAACTTCTATTTCGTTATTCTCCTCCCACACATTTTTATCATCAGTCCTCTCACCTGTACAGATAAACACAAATCACCTGCATGATAACTTCGTGACTAACTTTCTCTCGGGCCTTCTCTTTTGAGTTAATAAGTTTTAAACAAAAATGAGTGTTTGTGTTTATGTTGACGTCTCACGCACATACTTGTTCCACACCTTTGTTTTAAAAAAGGGGATCCATAGTTTGTATGTCTTAGCGTTACAAACGAGTTCCTCTCCTTTAGGGGATCAATAGTTTGAATATTTGGCATTCAAACTAGTTCCACTCCTGTTTCAGGGGATCAATAGTCTGTTTGTTGTAGACAAACTAGTTCCTCTCCTGTTGAAAGGGGATCAATAGTATGTGCATTACACAAACTCATTTCTGTTATTCATTTACTGATTACATGGACAAGTTCTTCTATTATGACCAAATTGACCACAATTACCACATTTTCTTTGTGTTGCAGGTGGTTCTAGAGATTGCCTTGGAGAATGTGGTACTTCAATCTCCATTGTGAGGTCTGGTGGATCATCTACACCTGGAGTTGATTGTCGAGATGATCCTGTTAGTCGAGGTGCATCAGGAAGTGCGCAGGTTACATCTTTACATTCGTATCTGCAAAACGGTCTTATCTTTTCGTAAAGGTACCATTTCCTTTCAGTTGACATACCCTTTGGTGGTAATATATTAGGTAGTTCATCTTCCATTATTTGAGCGTCCTCCTTCAGCACATTGAATTGTGTGACTGGGCCATCTACAGCTTGTCTGGCTGCAACTACACCAGGTGAGGTCGCATTTACAACAAAGTGTTGAAAGCCTTTGATGCCTTTTATTTTCTTGAATAATGTAGCAAAGTAACTACACCAGTCAAGTGTTTCTACAATGAGTTCACCATTGCTACTTCCTACTGGTTGGGCTTTGTTCACAGCAGATGATTGTTCTACAACTTGAATGAAGTCATCCAATGAGTCCACCTCTGCTTTACGGAATTTTTGCTTTAACAGTCCGAAGCACCAGTCTGGAGAAAATTTTGTGTCCAACTGGCAGAAAAGATATTGAAATGGACGCATTGAGTCCTGTCATGACTCTCCATAAGAGGTACTAAAATAAATAAAAATTACATTTAAAATGTTCATTATTGTGCATGTAATATACTTACTTGAATAACTGTATTATTTTTATTTTGCCCTGTGCAGTTGTCAGCATTGAAATGGATACTGACTGAGTTGAGGCCATGATTCTTCAAATAAAAATGTACCATGCTTATGACAGGATTTGCCCCTTTACCAGTGTCGAATGATTCATCGATCAAGAAATTAACCTGCTGAGGGATAGCTTCACAGCACACGCCAAATATGCCACATTTCCTGGGAGTAAGAAAATAAATTGGACCTGCTTGTAGTGGACTTGAAGGATAGTGAACCTTTAAAAAAGTAAGTGAGCTAGATGCACTTTCATAATTATCATAAAATGTTACCTGTTGAGCATAATCAAAGCTATAATGTGCTACAATATTTAACATAGCAAGTGGCCTTGTTAGTGGGGGATTGTAATTGTTTGCTGCATCAGTATACAGCCCTTTTAACAATAATTGTGCCTCTTTTAATACATCCTTATAGTACTCCCTTTCCTTTTTAACAAGACTTCTGTGATCTAGTGCCTTTTGCATTGCTTGAAAATTCTAAATAATACTTGTGTTATTACAATACTGACTTACCTCAGTTATCCTTTCATCTGATTGCATGTTAGCACTTCTTACAATCGGTCCACTTATCTCTTTACAAGTGGCACACAAGTCAGACATAGGCTTCATTTTTTCAATATAAGGCAGGTAGCGTCGCCACAACATGTTGAATGTTGTTTCAGCACATGCTTTGACATAAAGCCCTTGACATGATTCCGCAAACTCTAAGTTATACCTGCCTTTTAGATGTACTGCATGGTAAGAACTTCTTATTCTCGTAACTTTTCATTCCAGGTATTCTTCCAGGAAGACTGATTCCATGGACTTCAGCGTAATTTCTGATAAAAGCAACAACTTGGAGAATATCATTATAAGTCAAAGCATGGTTTGGTGTCTTTCCAGCATTTCCGTGAACTCTAATAAAGTTAAGTACATGACATTGAATTTGTAAGTCTCATACCTTGGTATTAATCCATTCATTCTGTAGTTTTTCATGATTTCCTCAAACCTGCTTTTGCCACATGCATGTAGCTTCAGAAATGTTACTCTACATATCTAGTTGAAAAACGATTAATTTTGTGTTGTGTCACTCATAGTTACAAACCTTATGACCTTGATGCATGAACATAAAAAAATGCCTCTTTCTCTCATTCTGTCTCCTGTGGTTGCCAGTCGACAATCCCCCCATGGTAGATGTTGCTGCCATTTGACTCATAATAGCAATTTCTTGAACAGGCTTTGCCATGGCTTGTATGTCAAATCTATATGTTTTTATGTAAGAGTGACTGAACAGTGCATAGCAATTATCTGAGCAACCACATCCATGTTCAAAGAACTTTGATAATTCTTCTTCCTCCTGTAGGTCTTCCTTCCTCATGTCATCACCAGAGTGAGTAGTTGAAGTAGCTGGAGCATCAGGCATCGCTGATTCTAAATCAAGATCTGATACTTGTAGCTCCACAGCCACCTCAGGATCAAACAGTGGTGGATTAATATCTTCATCACAATCTTTTGTCTCTTACTCTTCTTCTTTCCCTTCCTCTACCTCTTCTCCTTCCATATCTTCTACTGCTTCATAGTCTGTCTCTATCAATTAACAAATACACTGTATAACTAAGTTTATTATAATAATATTGTGCATTTATACAGGTGATGGAATGTCATTGTTGTGATAGCTAACCGCTATTCACAGTTAGTATGTAAACAGTGTTATGAATAAGCTTACCACTAGTTCCATCACAAAAGTAGTCCCCAAGAACTGAAGCAACGTAGTCACTGTCTCGAGGACCTATTTCTTCATTTAACAAGCGAGCAATGTCTCTTTCTGTAGCCATAGTTTTTATAAGTAGTCTTCTTCGTCTTTGTTATACTTTAAATAGTTGCTATAGAGACTCCATGGTTACCTAATGACACATTAAAGCCCTCCGTTTTTATTCCGTGGTCACTTCGTGTAACATTCTCCGTGCACAATCAAGGTAAAATGTCAAAGGGCTTATAACTCGGCAAAGAAGGCTTCGCTACCCCTGATTTTGGTATCAAATGAAAGGATTTTGTTTATATAACATGTTGATGTGATAAAATGAATTTCGCCCAGGTAAAGATTTTTCGTGATTATGAGCCCATAGCTCAAAATGATAATTCCCGCAGATAGCCTGGTTTTCTCATATCGGGTCACATATACAAAATAAAATGAAGCTTCTTGTTATATGGTTATCGCCTTGGGGGGCATCAATCTCTTGTTGACATGATGTCAATATCTCTTTTACATCACTCAATATTGGATGCCCATGCAAAGTAAGCTGCTGACACTTTAAAAGCTGTAGCTTTTAAAAACGTACACAAAGTGCCCTTAATTTCACTCTTTCACCTTGTTGCAACCTTACCTGTAAACGCTCACCTTGTAGGATTTCACGCAAGTAATTTATTTTTGAACATATGAAACAAGTTTGGCTGCCTGAGCAAGTACTTTGTGTATTGCTTTAGTATTTTTAAAGCCATCTTAACTACCAGTTAGGTGGTATGTGCGAACAGGATTCAAGTTATGAGAGATTTGTACATTCACTTGAAATAGTTACCGTAAATGTTCAAATAAAAGCCCGGGCGTTTATTTCCTTAATCAGGTTATGAGACAGGCGTCTATTTGAGACTGGCCTTTAATTGAGACAGGCGTTTATTAAATAATTAAAAATTATCAATAATGACCACACCCAAAAAACATGGCCACCAGAGAAGAAACATTTATATTCAGCAGTGTAATCAGAGGTCATCATGTATATAAAGTGACTTGGACACCATATATAAGTGAGAATCTGACAGCCAACATTGAAGAAGACAACCCACATGATAGACATGCTATTGCCTTAACCAGAAGTGCTGGTGATATTATTGGTCACATGCCTCGAAAAATAGCTCCATTGTGCTGGTTCTTTATTAGGAATGGAGGTAGTATAAAGTCTGTTGTCACTGGGAAAAGAAAGAAAGGCATTGGTTTAGAGGTACCTTGTGATTATGTTTGTTGTGAATCACAAAGAATGATTAAGAAGTTGAAGAGGTTACTTAGCCAAGTAGATACTCAATCATAATAATAATTATTATTTATACCAATCAAACTTACTATATTAGAACAATTTTGTTTTAATTATGAATTTATGATAAATGATTTTGCTTTGATTGTAAATTTATGATAAATCAAATGTGTGCATGTAAAATAAATATTAGTTACTGTTCCTCGTCAGAAGTAGTTTCATCATCACAATCATCAGTGTCATCTATACAGGCTTCATTCTCTTCAGTTTCTTCTTCATCGACATCACTAGCAAAGGGATCTTTATCTGCATTCTGAGAATCTGCATTCAGTGTTTCCATTTCTTTAAGTAACTCCTCTCCTCCAGCTTCACAAGGTTGTCCAGCCTTAAAACAATGGATATGGTTGTCCTCACTACCGTCTGTTTTGGTTGTGATTGCACAACTGCGAAAGGAATCTCTGATTCTCTCTTCTGGAATATCATTCCAAGCCTCTTTTATCCATTGGCACAACAAGGAACGAGATGGTGGTTTCAGATTTCCCCCTTTTGTGTACTCATGCACTGATGGTTCTGATAGCCAAGTGTCATAACTCCTTCTCAGATGACTTTTGAAGGAAGCATTCCACACAACATCTGGTGCTTCAATGAACTTTGTACATCCACCTGGTATAGTAGCTGTGTGAAGTTTCATCTTGTCCGTTTCTTTTCTGGTTGCCTGGCTAATATGGCATTTGTAAGAATCCCATATTAATAAGCGCTTACTAAACGAAAAAGAGCCAATTATTGAATGAAGATAATCTTTCATCAGCCCATCATTCATCCACCCATTGGCACTAAACTTCACCACTACTCCTGGAATCTTTTGTAACTCTTTGATAAGACGAGTTCCCTTGCCTTTAAAGACAATATAAGGACGCAATTTTCTACCATCACCTCCGCCAGTTAAGATAACAGAAAAGTGGTCTTTTTCATGATCACTAGTTTTTAATGGAACAGACTTTGCACCACAAAAATCCACAGTGGTGTCAGACACCATATCCATCCAACATGCTGTCTCATCCATAGCAAAAATATTTGAATGAGCGAATTTATGGGCAATCTGTAGTCTTCTAAGGTGCATAATGTAGGTGACAAGTTTAGGAATGGCATCTTCAGGTGTTTTCTGACATACGCTTGTCTTCTTTCTTAAACTGAGGTTTTTCCTTTTCATGAACAGTCGTAGCCATCCTACACTTGCTTTAAAATCAGTACCAAGTGGGTCAGCTAGTGCTTTTGCCTTTTCTCTGATCATTCTTCTGCTTACACGAACATTCCGGGTTCTTAACTCAGCAATCCAATCGAATAATTCATCTTCCATGTTTTCATCCAGTGGCTTTCTTCCAGCTCCTGCTAAACGTTTACGACTACTTTTACCTTTCCTTTTCAGCATTTTAAGTGTTGCCTCTTGAGAACACCATTCTCTGATTCGTTTTGGGTCGACTTTATATTCTCTAGCTGCTGCTTCCTTACTCTTTTCTTTTGCCACAGCTATAGCTTTTAACTTAAAAGAAACATCATAGCACTTACGAGACATTCTCCTTTTCTGCCTAACTAGCCACGTGTTTGATTCCACGTGTAGCCACGCCCATACGCATTGACCACGCCCAGGCGTCAATTTGAAACAGGCGTTTATTAAAGAAAATGGAGGAGACCCCCTGCTTATATTTGAGACAGGCGTTCATTCAAACCCGGCTTCTTTTTGAACATTTACGGTACTTTGATCTCATTCTCATGATCATCCTCATTGCTATCACTGTTTACATTCTCTTAAAGCTCTACTCATAAAACTTTGGCGGTCTAAAAGATTGTAACATTTTAGAAGCACTGTCAGTAATTATTGGAAAAACCTCAGCTAACCCACAAAAATCTAGATTTTTATGATATTTCCTAGTAATGTATACTGTACAACGGCCAAGAAATTGTGCCTCACTAACTGCATGGACCTGTCTGAAATAAAGTGACAAGATACCCCTTCATTTGCTATAAAACCAATAATCCATAGTGATAGAAACCCAGTAAACTTTTTAAGGACTTGTTCAAGACCATTATTTATTGTTTCCCACTTCTTTGTGAGTAGTTCAGTTGTCAAATGCGTTCAGAAAGAAAGCTGCTTTCAGTGATCTAAGGTACTCACAAATTTTTTAAAAGCATGGCTTTCAACAATTGACCAAGGAAACATATCCTTAGCCATAAGATAGATAGTTGTCTGTCTTTCACAAGGATCACTTCGTTTGTATTACCATCTTGTACATGAGATGTGATTGTGACTTTCTCAGGACAAGGAACTGTTGATGGCTTAAAAGAAACTGTGGGATATTTCTTCTGATGAAGAAAGTCATATTTTAAATTATATCAGTTATTTGTAGGCTTACTTTCAGATGTGCTGTATAATTCGAAGTTGTCTTTGTAAATCAAGATATCATGGAATCACAGTGCTAGCATAATGCTTCATAGCTGCTTCCTTCATTAAGGATGGGGTTTCCAAATAACTATGTATCCTTGACTACATAATAACACTTACCTAAAACAAAAATGGACAATATTCTACTCACTTTTTGTAGATATACAATTGCTGCAATTGCCCCTGCTGCATGTGGTGCT